GCTGTCCTGGAACTCACTATGTAGACCAGGCTGGCCTTGAACTCACAGAGATACACCTGCCTCTGCCTCCCCAGTGCTGGGACTAAAGGCGTGCACCACGATGCCTGGCTAAAATAAAAATATTTTTAAAGTGAGTACTTCTATTTTGTTGTAAAGCAAGATGTATGTGATGACTAGAAGTTGGCTGCTCATGAGGCAGCCAAGGAACAGAGTGAGACCTTTTGAAGGATTTAGGCAAAGTAGATGGTTTAATACTCTATGTTTTTAACATGAAACTGTCCTTTTGAGTGATACCCAAAAATATTTTATTAGAAATGAAAAAAAATTAGATTTTAGCTAAAATATGTTCTATTTTGCCCATTGGCAATGGTTCTCAAAATCTCAAGTACTTATTAATCATGACAATAATCAAATTATATATTTATAGTAAATATATACATAAATACATATGACATGTACATAAAATATATTTATATATAAAAGTTTTCATATATATGCATACCTACGTACACACGCAACAACACACATATATATATTCTAGCTCAGAAGAACAATCATATCCTCAATGTAAGAAATGTTCAAAGCAGGGCTGAAGATATGGCTCAGTGGTTAAGAGCATTTCTTTTTGTTTATTTGGTTTTCTGAGACAGGGTCTCACTATGCAGCCCTGCCTGGCCTGGAATTTGCTATGTAGATCAAGCTGGCCTTGAACTCACAGAGATCTGCCTGTCTCTGCCTCCTGAGTGCTGAGATGAAAAGAATGCACCACCATGCCCATCTAAGAGCATTCCTTGCTCTTCAAGAGGACCCAAGTGCAGCTCCCAGCATCCACTTTAGGTGGCTCACAACAGTTTATAACTCTAGCTCCAGGGGATTTAATGCTCTCTTCTGGCCTTTGCCTGCACACATGTAGCATACACTCATACAAACACACACATATACACACAAATTTTAAAACAGAAAGAAATCAAAGGAATAGCAAACTTTGAAGTGAAAACAAAAGTTTTAACTTACTGACTGATTAAATCAGGTCCCACCTTAGAGCCATCATCTGTCTCCTCTTCCATATCAGAGTCCAAACCATTGTCACCTTATAAAAAAATGAACTATTGAAATCATGTTTATAGTAGTAATGTACTAATATAGTATAGTACTAATGTAGTCACTACATAAAAAGTTTTATCTTTTAAGTGATTCAGGTTAAAGAAAACTTAACAGTTGCAACATATTTTCTATTGCTTATATTTTTTAGGATTATTTATGTGAATATTTATATATTTGTATGTGTATGTGAATGTGTGTCTGTCTGTGTCCCTGTGTGCAAGTGCCACAGGGGCCAGAAGAGGGCATCAGATCTCCCTGGAGCCATACTTATAGGTGGTTGTGAGCCACCCAATGTGGGTGCAAGGAACAGAACTCAGGTCCTCTGGATGAGCAGCACGTACTCTTAACTGCTAAGCCACCTATCCAGTCCCTACTGCTTACATGCAAAGTAAGTTTTAGTATGACTTTTTTTCTCCATTGCTCACCCTTCATTCACCATATACAAAAGAACACGTTTGTATATATTGAAGAGACTACATACTTATACATACATCTATTTCCAGAGTTATGAAATCCATTAAACTATTTTGTTTTAATTTTAGTCTATTTTATTTTTATTTGTGTGTGTGTGTATATGTGGGTGTGGGTGACTGTGGAGGTCAGAAGAGGGAATCAGATATCCTGGATTTGGAATTGCTTGTGAGCTGTCTGATATAGGTGCTGGGAACCAAACTCCAGTCTTAACCACTGAGCCATCTCTCCAGCCCAACTATTTTACATTTTCTGAAAACATTTTCTCTATGGAAAATGAAAGTATCCGCTTTTTGTTTCTCCTGTAATGAAAATGGAAAAATACTCTCTGATGCCAAAGGGAAACAAAAGAGTAGTTGAAAATTCAAAATTCTAAAAGCCACCACAGAGGATAATCTTCTTTCAGGGGACACATAAATACTGAAAATTTAAAGTAATTTAACACTGTAGAACAGATATAATATGCAACAGACAATCATAAGTTAAAAGAAAATAAATCAGAATTTAATTGTAACTTCTTAGTGTTTTTCTTTTACAGTGCTTTTGATAATTTTTTTAAAGTTTTATTTTTTATAGTATACAAATGTTCTTTTTTTATATACTGGTTTGAAATACATACCAAATTTATTTATTTTGAAATTCTAATATTTAAATTCCATTTTCAGTACCAACAGAAATAAAGATATACTTCAATGATTCTCTAATAATGAAATTAAAATCACATTCATGTACAAGAAAGAAACACCCAGTATTTATGCAGAGAACAAATTTAATAAGTTTGCAGAACATAAAAATATTCATTCTTACCCTCAAGAATCTTCAAGATTTTTTTTTCGGACAGGAGTTCTAATTGTTCCTGGCACAGTTTTTTAATTTCTTCTACTGAACAGTTCTAAAGGAAATGACATTTTTTTTAAATTGCTTTTATGTACTATAGTTCCAAAGTAAACTGGAAAACTGCAATCATAAGAAAAATTCCAATTAGCAAAATCTTATAAACAAAGCCTCAAGTATATTCACATGAATTTTTTTCAATGGAAAGAACTCTGAAAAACTGTCAACATGGACATTTTAGAGATTTTCTGGAGTACATAAAGTCATGTTTATTATTAGAGAAAAATTGAAATGCAAGTCAGTTTCCCATATCTCCTTAATTGTAGTTGCTATTAGGCAATTCTTCTAAAGGTTTAAATCTTCTAGGCCTGACTGCGTGAGTCTTGATTTGGGGCTTTGCTTTGGCTTTTTACAACTATAAAATCAGAATACCATCAGAAATAAACACATGAAAACACCTGTAAACTTGATGAAATATAAATTACTGCAAACTATCACTGTGCACTGTTACACAGCAGTGTATTATTTCTTAAACACCAGAAAGATTCCTTATAATTCCAGTATTTATCATTACCTGAAAATAATATAATTCTCTCCATAGGGTCAATAAATGTCTTGCCAAAATATTTTTCTCAAACAAAGTTTAAATTTGGCCATTCATTGGCCAAATTTGTTTCCTTGTATTCTTTCAAGTACTTTAGATTAGAACACCCAACTAAGTACTACGCTGAGTGCAATGAATGCCACAAAAGGGCTCTGCTCCTCGCACCCGTACCCCCACGGCAGTGAAGTACCTTCAGCACGTCAGGAAGCATCTTCTGTAGCTTCTTTTCTCCTATTATACAGAAGCACTGCTGGAGCATTTCTTTCTTGTCTGATATATAGAAACTAACTGGCTTTAATGAAACAGTCAGATCCAGTCCACCTTCTTCAAGATCACTGTGCTCTGCCAAGAAAAATTCTTTTTCCAAAGTTGGCAAAAGGTATTTGGCTTCCTACAATTAAAGGAATAAAGAGTTATTAGATAACACTACTCATAATATTTAAAGAATGTGCATGACAACACATATTTTCATTTAATTATTCTTCATTAAACACTTCTAAATTCTTTGCATGATTAGTTATCTAGTCACAGAAAGGAATAGCCAGTTGTTCATCACTCTCTCATTTTACTCTCCAGTTTGCAGTTAACTCAGAGTCGTAAGAAAAGAAAAACTGCACCTCAGAAGGCACGAATGAAAATATACTCAATTTGACATATTTCCCCAAACTTTAGACTTTTGAAGAATTAGGAGATTCATTCAGGTAGCCATTCACCCAAAAGGGTCACATGTGCATTATCATACTGCTTAAATTCATATAAAGACATGCAACAGAGAAAAATGTTTTAAGACACAAATATTACAAAGCTATATGGTAACCATAAGCTATTATCATTTTCAACTGCTATATAATTTAATCATATGCAAATAATTTCAATAATTTAAGACATATCTAACAAGTTTTCTTCCTACCTCCCAAATCTAGCCAGTCTTTCCAAATCTACTACCAAAATCCTGGTCCATGATTGTTCCTATATTGACAGCCATGGAACTGCTTTCCCCACATCCAATGAGATCTCTGCATTGTACAGTGTTAGCAAAATGGATTTTATTATAGAATGGGTCCACAATCACCCTGCTCTTGGGGTCACGTGGCCACGTGGCTCTTTCTGCTCAGCCTTTGTGTTCCCAGCACAATGACCTCTGAATTACTGATATAAACTGTTCTCCTCCCCTAGGTTCATCCAGGCAGGACTTTGTGAACTTTTTTTATCTTGTCTTTCCTCCCTCCTCCCCTACACTACAGCACACTCACTGACAAGCTCACATGCTCCTCAGATGGGAATCTGAAAATCTAGATGGAGTGGGAAAGTATAAGAGAGCTATAATAATTATTTTTTAATTTCGTTTTCCAGTTAAAAAAATTAGTGTTAGCTGGGCATGGTGATGCATGCCTTTAATCCCAGCACTCGGAGGCAGACACAGGAGGATCTCTGTGAATTCGAGGCCAGCTTGGTCTCCATTAGCAAATCCAGGCCAGCTGCAGCTTCAGGGAGACCTTATCTCAAAAAGACCAAAAAAAAAAAAATAGTCTTATTACAGAGTGGGAGTGCAGAGTGCAGAGCACTCATGTGTTGAGGACAGAGGACAATTTCAAGAATAGGTTTCAAGGGTAGAACTCAGATGTCAGGCTTATGCACGCCCACTGAGTCACTTCAATGGCCCCTTAAAATTTCTTTCAGCCGGGTGTGGTGGCACTCGCCTTTAATCCTAGGATTGGGCGGGGGGTGAGTTCAAGGCCAGCCTGGTCTACATAGTGAGTTCCAGATCAGCTGGGGCTACAGGGAGACCCTGTCTCAAAACGACCCCCCCCAAAAAAAGGTGGGGAACAATAGAGGAGATACCCATTGTCAGCCTCTGACCTCATGTCCCCATACACATGCACATACACTTATACTACAGACACATACAAAAATGAAAATGAACAAAAGTACTGGGCATAGTAGCCTATGCCATTAATCCAAGAACTCAACAGGCAGAGGCAGGCAATCTCTGTGAGTTTAAAGGTCAGCCTGGTCTACACAGGGAGTTCCAGACGAGCCAGGGCTACATAGTGAGATCCTGTCTCAAAAAAGTATAAATTAATAAATAAATAAATAAATAAATAAACAAACTCAAGTTCTACTATCAATGATATCAATATGGAAATTCCTACTTCATTATGACTG